CTCAGAGCTACAGAGAGTCGCTGCTCTCGACCCTCATGGAGGCAGTTCTAGAAATGATTTTCAAAGGAACGGAGCTATCTCAAGGTAAAACTATGACAGCCCAGCTGTGGCAAAAAGCTTTTTAGAAGCTGACTGATCAGAGAAGGTGAACCATTGTTGTGTTGATCCCAATGAACACTGCCGCATTATTGTTCAGAGCAAAGGTTGTCAGGCTTTTATCAACAGCCCAGGACTGGAGAATAAAACCACAGAAACTACTTTCTTTTTATTCTACCTCTTGTATACAACATCCACTTGATGTATTTCTAATTGTTTCTTTGCCAAAACCTTGACAAATAAGGGCAATAAAAGAGTTCAGTAGTGATTCAAGACAGTTTAAGCAAGTTTATGGACTAAAGTTTTTTTTTTCTTATGTTTATAGAACAATTGTAAGGCTCATAGTAGAATTAAACAATGTCTAAAAATGTAATTACACTGCAATGGTAGTAACTGCATCTAAAATCATACAAAGGTTTACAGAGTGACAAATTCCTGAATGCCAAAATAAACAATGTGTCAAATTAATAATGATATTTTGGTTTCTCAGTGTTTTTCATAAGCATGACTGCTTTTGCTCAAATCTCATGTTGCACAGTTACCATAAAACTGTCCATTGTTTTCATAGATATTTTCACAGGAATATTATGAGGCTCTACTACACTAAATTACCAGGATTATGACTGAAGCTCCGATTCACACTTGATCTTTAATTTTTAAAGAGGTAGTTTGTTCCTTACTTGTGTGTCAGACTGGTGACCCTGGTGGTGAGACTGAGGGAGTGGGCACACAGGAGCCTATTAGAGGAGGAGGAGCGGCCAGACTCCTTCCTTGAGCGCTTTCGCGGCCCTGAGGCAAGAAAGGCCCCCAGCCGCTCCAGCAACACGCAACCAGATGCCAGTGGCAGCAAGGCCAAATGGATTTTTAGGTATGCCTGTGTGTCACCTACAACCATTACTACACACTTCACTGAAAAAAAGGATTTGTTGGATTTACTTGATTGTAATATGTACATCGGTCCCACACAATGATAATGTGTAAAACCAACATAATTTTCTTTAGGGGTTAACTTGTTTGAATTATGTTAACAGAGGAAAGGTTAGTGTGTATGTGATTGCAAATATTCTATAAGGTGTTTTTTGCTTTACTAAAATGGTTAGCTTCTTCTGGAGGCACTGAGGGCCAGGCGTAAAACTAGGGGGGATAGAGCCTTCGCTGTGGTGGATCCAAACCTGTGGAATGCTTTGCCTCTTTATATTAGGCAGGCCCCCCTCGTTGTCTATTTTTAAGTCATATTTGAAGACCTACTTGTATTCATTGGCGTTTGGCCAGGAATGAGACTCTGTCTGTAGTGTTAGTGTTTGTTTTATTGTTTATAGTTTTTTATGTGATGATTTTAGATGTGTATGGTATGTTAAGCGTTTTGGTCAGCTGTGCTGTGGTAAAGCACTATATAAATAAAGTTGAGTTGAGTTGAGTTGAGTAAAATATGGTGTGGAAAATTGAAAACACTTTTCAGTAGAATACAAAACAACAGCAGAGCCTTAATATTTACCAGAGAGATGAGCCAACACACAGACAAAACTGTTAAAATAACAGTGTTTATTGTGGCACTATTGTATTGCTTTGCTTTATATCTTGCTTCTATTTTTCTGTATATCTTTGCAGTAGGTGTACAACTTTATAGATCCATAAGCCAAAGTTATGTCTGAGTGTATTATCCCCAATCTCTCCACGCTTTCAGGAAAAAACGGCTTTTGTTTGTGCTGTCTCCCTCCGATGACGCCTACTACCGCTGGTTATTTGTTATTGCCACAGCAGTGCTGTACAACTGGTTCCTTGTTGTTGCAAGGTAATGACACCACAGTCGTTGCGGCCATGCAGCCTTCAGACGTGGGTGATGGATGTGGTGAACAGATGTATGGTCCACTTCTTAAACTGCAGCAGTAAATCATTTTTCGTTTTTTATCCATAGGGCATGCTTTGATGCATTACAGGTGGAAAATTACATCTGCTGGCTGGTGTTGGACTACCTCTCAGATGTTGTGTACATAATAGACACTTACGTCCGACTTCGCACAGGTAACATATCGTTTCTGGCCTCAAGACACAATGCAGTGTCATTACATAAATCCCCACAAGTAACCATTTTATGCAAGTAATTACCTTAGTGTTGGTTGAAAAATGTGACAATCCTGGTTAAAAACAAAAACAAAAACAAACAAAAAACTGGCAAAATCTATACTTATGCTATTTTAGTATATTACGTATTAGCATATCGTATCATATTATACGATTAGTGTGATCTACTGTATGTCTACAAAGATTCTCAGTCATCCAGGTCATAGGATTGGAAATGGACTTAAAGCCATTTTGTTTTATTGTTGTGGACAACAGAATATGTGAGCAAGCACAAACTGTACATGTATTTTGTCTCAGGGTTCCTGGAACAAGGTTTGCTAGTGAGGGATCACGCCAAGCTAAGAGACAATTACACCCGTACATTGCAGTTCAAGCTGGACTTGTTGTCCATCCTGCCCACTGACCTGGTGTACATCGCCACTGGCATCCACACACCACAGCTCAGGTTCAATCGGCTCCTGCGCTTCCCACGTATGTTTGAATTCTTTGACCAGACAGAGACACGCACCAACTACCCCAACATGTTCCGTATCTGCAACCTGGTGCTTTACATCCTGATCATCATTCACTGGAATGGCTGCATCTACTATGCTATATCTAAATCTTTAGGATTTGGCTCAGACTCATGGGTGTTCCCAAACATCACTGACCCTGATAATACCACCCTGACCTTTAGTTACATCTACTGTCTGTACTGGTCAACTACTACTCTCACCACCATTGGAGAGAATCCTCACCCTGTGCTAGATGAGGAGTACATATTTTCAGTCTTTGACTTTCTGGTTGGGGTCCTAATATTTGCCACAATTGTGGGAAACGTTGGCTCTATGATTGCCAACATGAATGCTACCCGTGCTGAGTTTCAGTCTCGGATCGATGCCATCAAACACTACATGCAATTCCGCAAAGTCAGCAGAGAACTGGAGACACGTGTCATTAAATGGTTTGACTACCTGTGGACCAACAAGAAAGCTGTGAACGAGCAGGAAGTGCTGAAGAATCTGCCAAACAAACTGCGGGCTGAGATTGCTATTAATGTGCACCTGGAGACCCTTAAGAAAGTACGCATTTTTCAAGACTGTGAGGCAGGACTGCTGGTGGAGCTTGTGCTAAAACTGCGCCCACAGGTCTACAGCCCAGGAGATTACATCTGCAAAAAAGGGGACATAGGCAAGGAGATGTATATCATCAAAGAGGGGAAGCTGGCTGTGGTGGCTGAAGATGGGGTCACACAGTATGCCCTCCTCACCGCTGGCAGCTGCTTCGGGGAAATCAGCATTCTGAACATAAAAGGCAGTAAAATGGGAAATCGGCGGACAGCCAACATTCGCAGCTTGGGTTACTCTGATCTCTTCTGCCTCTCTAAGGATGATCTGATGGAGGCAGTGACCGAGTATCCAGATGCTAAGACTGTGCTAGAGGACAGGGGCCGGGAGATCCTAATGAATCAGGGTCTGCTGGATGAGAACGCAGAGAGGGGCAGCGGGCTGCGGAAGGAGGACACAGAGGAGAAGGTGGAGAGGCTGGAGTCCTCCCTGGACACTCTTCAGACTCGCTTTGCCCGTCTACTCAATGATTACTCAAACACACAGCAACGGCTGAAGCAGCGCATCACTGTGCTGGAGCGGCAGCTGAATCCAACAGACTGCAGCGCAGATGCAGACCGAGAAATGGATGCAGAAGCAAATGAAAGAGACCCTGGGCCTGTTGTCTGTTCGGGTGGGTCTCCACATCACAATAATGTGCAAACAGAGGACAAGAAGAGCCCAATATCAAAACATTAACTATCTCTGACATACCTTGATTCAGACTCATTAAATATAATGACGCTGTTTGTAATTTCCATTGTGAGATTGTTTTGTCAGTGTAGTTGAGTGGATGTCAGTAAGCACAAAAAAGAAAGCTGAGCTGAGCTACATTAAATACCTGTGTGACCAGTGTGGTTCTGTGTTGTGTGGGTGTGAATGATGACGTGACACTGGGATCTCTTTGGAGCGGGTCTGATGATCCTAAATGATAAAAACAGGCTTCCATGTAAATGAGGTGCCCGCTCCAACTCCAACAGTTAGCTTGAGACATGGGAACTTTTAAGCTAGCAGCACGTGACTGTCAAATGTAAGCTCACAGCAGCTTATATGACCAAAAAATACACATAAAACAATAAAAACAATCAGATGCATTACAATTATAACTGAACAGAAAAAGTCATACCCACCTCACCCACAGGACACGTCCAACAGGGGAGAGGTGAAGGGAGTGCACAGGATTTATAGGAGGTACCACAGAAGAAGAAACCCCAAAGTAGCTGCTCTGAGCTTGAATTTCCTCAACAAAAACAAAGGACACAGAGAGGTCCCTTCAGTTACAAAGGATATTTACAACTTAAAAACAGATTTTGTGTAATTATAACAGGTTACATACAGTTACACCTGCAAATTAAGTTTAAATGACGCTTCTAAAAAAAGGGCAAGATTAATTACTAAAAAGTATTGTGAATTACTAGTTGTTCTAATTTTTGGGTCACTTGTAAACATACTGTAAATGTGTTAGGTTACATCAGCAAAGGGATTTAGTTCTCTTGACATACTGTATATTGTGCTCTGGTCCTGTACACCGTGTCTCCTGCTGCTCCCCCTGGGAAAAATAAATCCAAGGAGAGATAATAAGAGGTGATTCACTGGGTTCACAAACACAAACACAATTGTCTTCCAGTGCCTTATTTTTAGGTTAGACCTGAATCAGACCTGTGATCATAATCTTTTCACACTTTGGTTTTCATGGGACATTTAAGAAGACTTCTTGCACTGGAAATGATTTTTAGCTCTCGTGAAGTGAGTCACAAGCAATTTGCAGTTGTTACTGTTCAACTGTTCTGCAAATGGGCAACAATTTTTTGACATTTGCAATAAAAAAAACTTACTTTGCCAGTTTTAGAATAAAATGAGTCAGCCTCTGTTTGCATTTGGTCTCCCCATTTACAGTACAGTACATACACACTCACTCAGTGAACCTAGGGAATGGGGATTTTCCAGTAATTCAGCCTCTGCATTCCAGGATACAGCTCAACCACATGAGCAGTGTTGATAAACGCTCCTGGAACAATGCCCCCACTGCAGAGCTGACTGCATTAAATAGGTGAGAGGTAATGAGGGCTGCGTGGGATCGAGTACCATGGACAAATGTCTAGTTATAGCCCACAGATTGATCAAACCTCATGTATATGCATGTTAGAGAAACAAATCACAAATGATAAAACTCTCAACACAGCATTGATTGGTATATGAAAAGATCCATATATAAGCATAACATTACATGCTTCAGTCATTATATTTCAACATAAGGTTCAATTAAATAGAAAATTATAATTGAAAATAAAATTCTTTCTTTACAAATTTGTCCCAAGATGTTTTTTAAGACCCACAGATCACCAAAACCATGCTAGCTAACTTGGTATGGGGTTGTAAAAAATGTTCAGTGTTAGAGGGGTTCAATCACTGTGATTGTCCCCTGCTGACTCCATTCTCCATTTCAAATGTGGTTAAAGAAAAGGTTGTGAAGGCAAATTTAGAGAGGTTTCAAGTGCTGATTCATATTAACAATGTTAAATTCACTGAAATGAATTGATTGCACTGTGGCGGTAACATGCTGCTTCGTCTGCCCATACATACACTGCTGTCAACTCCATGCAACTCACTTAACAGGTGCACTGCAGTGTCCCTTACCCCCTTAAACACACGATACTCCAACCCCCAAAACATTTGCCACCATTTGTCATGTGTACAGGCCAAGTGGTGCAGTGTCAGTGGCAGCCTTATATGCACTGACATGATCCATCTCTGAGCAGGGTGGTTTTTACAGGAAGTAAAATGCACCATCATGTCTACCTGTTCATGACATATTAAGAATAAACATGGCATATGTTGTAAATGTTGAACCAAGCTGAAACTGGGGAAAAACTTCACAGTCTTCAATATTTATAACTACACTGTTCACACTTTGTGACAGCAAACTGCATTTGAAAGTCAAACAGTATCTTCTGCTTAACATTTGGAGACATCAATAATCAGTGGGATTCACTGCACTACATTCTGTTTGCACATGCATAATTGCACAATGACTCTGCCGCACATGCTGCTCCCATGCAGCATAGTTATGTTCTTAGATTTTTTTATTATATTGCTGCATTTGTTGCTGCTTAGTGTCCTAGATTTTGTTACATGCATAATTGCACAATGACTCTGCCGCACATGCTGCTCCCATGCAGCATAGTTATGTTCTTAGATTTTTTTATTATATTGCTGCATTTGTTGCTGCTTAGTGTCCTAGATTTTGTTACATGCATAATTGCACAATGACTCTGCCGCACATGCTGCTCCCATGCAGCATAGTTATGTTCTTAGATTTTTTTATTATATTGCTGCATTTGTTGCTGCTTAGTGTCCTAGATTTTGTTACATGCATAATTGCACAATGACTCTGCCGCACATGCTGCTCCCATGCAGCATAGTTATGTTCTTAGATTTTTTTATTATATTGCTGCATTTGTTGCTGCTTAGTGTCCTAGATTTTGTTACATGCATAATTGCACAATGACTCTGCCGCACATGCTGCTCCCATGCAGCATAGTTATGTTCTTAGATTTTTTTATTATATTGCTGCATTTGTTGCTGCTTAGTGTCCTAGATTTTGTTACATGCATAATTGCACAATGACTCTGCCGCACATGCTGCTCCCATGCAGCATAGTTATGTTCTTAGATTTTTTTATTATATTGCTGCATTTGTTGCTGCTTAGTGTCCTAGATTTTGTTACATGCATAATTGCACAATGACTCTGCCGCACATGCTGCTCCCATGCAGCATAGTTATGTTCTTAGATTTTTTTATTATATTGCTGCATTTGTTGCTGCTTAGTGTCCTAGATTTTGTTACATGCATAATTGCACAATGACTCTGCCGCACATGCTGCTCCCATGCAGCATAGTTATGTTCTTAGATTTTTTTATTATATTGCTGCATTTGTTGCTGCTTAGTGTCCTAGATTTTGTTACATGCATAATTGCACAATGACTCTGCCGCACATGCTGCTCCCATGCAGCATAGTTATGTTCTTAGATTTTTTTATTATATTGCTGCATTTGTTGCTGCTTAGTGTCCTAGATTTTGTTACATGCATAATTGCACAATGACTCTGCCGCACATGCTGCTCCCATGCAGCATAGTTATGTTCTTAGATTTTTTTATTATATTGCTGCATTTGTTGCTGCTTAGTGTCCTAGATTTTGTTACATGCATAATTGCACAATGACTCTGCCGCACATGCTGCTCCCATGCAGCATAGTTATGTTCTTAGATTTTTTTATTATATTGCTGCATTTGTTGCTGCTTAGTGTCCTAGATTTTGTTACATGCATAATTGCACAATGACTCTGCCGCACATGCTGCTCCCATGCAGCATAGTTATGTTCTTAGATTTTTTTATTATATTGCTGCATTTGTTGCTGCTTAGTGTCCTAGATTTTGTTACATGCATAATTGCACAATGACTCTGCCGCACATGCTGCTCCCATGCAGCATAGTTATGTTCTTAGATTTTTTTATTATATTGCTGCATTTGTTGCTGCTTAGTGTCCTAGATTTTGTTACATGCATAATTGCACAATGACTCTGCCGCACATGCTGCTCCCATGCAGCATAGTTATGTTCTTAGATTTTTTTATTATATTGCTGCATCTGTTGCTGCTTAAAGTGCCTTAGATTTTGTGTTACTTATCCCTCTACTTTATATTTCATTTGTATTTTGTGGCATTCATGTGGACGGCAAAGTAAGAATTTCACTGTACAGGGAAACACGTTTCCTAACTGTTCATATGACAAATAAACACTTTGAACTTACAACAAAGGGACAATCCCATTTTCTTTTTATCCCTACCCCTCATTTTTGAGTGCTCCCTTGTTTTTAAGTTAACCCTCATAACAGTGGTTGAAATCATCCCCTATGAATTGGGACAACCCTTCAAGAGTTCTATGAATTATCTGTAGTTAATGATGGTAGTCAAGTAAACAGGTTACACAGTGCCATCTTCAGCTATGGTGGTTTCTTGTGTGTTGTCTTTAAGCATCTGTTTGTGATTTTCAACAACAATTAAGGAAAATAGAAGGATAGAAAGTGACAACAAAGACAGCCCTCTTCATAAGCAAACAACTATTCAGTTTTCTTTAATGTATCAAGTTAGAACAAATATTTCAAAAGAATTCAGTTCAAGATACTGTAAAAATTAGACCAAAAGAAATATGATTTCTCTAATAATAACTGATTGAATGTGAAGACATAGAGGAAAGGGTGCAGGGCTGCTCATATGTATCAGAGCTGAAAGACCATAGTGTGCTGTCTTGGGTCTGTCGACTGATTGGCTGGGAGTGTCCACTGGGACAAAATGCACCAGCTAGCGCATCCGCATGTGTAGGCTGTGCTTAGGTCCATCCACCCGCTCCAACTTCTCAAAGTGTTTCCTAGCATTACGGATATTGATGAGAGTGGCTGCAGATGCTGGAAAACAGAGACATCGATGATTATTTGGGTTATGTTGATTTGATTTCTGAACTATCCACTCAAGGCAGAGAAATGCTACAGTATTGTCACTACTTACGAATAGATGGGTCTGACATGATAACCATGACATAAGTGTTGGAGGTGAAGACATCAATGAAGGCAGCAAAGTTGGAGTTCCTCACTTCCATGCTTTGGAAAGAGGCGGCAAGTTTACTAGAATAAAATCGATTTCAGAAAATTAAAAACACGGCTGAAATCCAGCAGGTGATGTGTAGAGAAAAGGTGGTGATTTTACAGAGTGAACTTACCTACAGCTGAGTTTGAACTGTTTGATAATGTTACTGATCTTCTCAAATCGGTGAGCATCACGCTGCTCTTTGCACTGATAGTGGGAGATCACCTGCATTGACATAAAACACCATGCAAAAAATAAATAAAAATTCTCTTTAGCAGCTTCAGATAGATTTTCTGCCCAGATACTGTTGTGCCAGAGGATGTGGCTGATCTTACCAGGAAGGTGGCTCTCTCAAACAGAAGGACTTCATCTGCCTCAATGATCTGTGCAAAATTTCTCAGGTTTGTCTCTAGCTGCTGGACGTTTGGGATGAGCTGGTATACTATGCTAGACCAGGCCTGCAAAGACATGTTCAAATATTTCTTAGACTGTCTGCTTTATCAGCTAACAACTCAATATACAGCCAGTCAGATTCACAACCTTATACAGGGTTTCATCCCAGATTGACGTCCTGAAGCATGTACAAGCCAAAGGTCTGGACAGTCTCTTCAGATCTTCTTCACGCTCCTTAAAGATCTACACAGAAAATGTTTGATTCTTAATGATAATTAACACTGCTCATAATTATATTAATATTCACTTCATCTTTTACTGTGTTACCTTAAGAATTATTGTTTTTCTACAAAATACATCCACATCTTTATATTCTTTTTACTTTTTTGTGGCAGGTACCATTTCAAACAAAGAGTATCCATTTAATGACTTCTGATACTAAAATAGTATGTTTAAAACATCATCATTATTATCTGAAGCTCTGACAGCGGTAAAATTCATGGGATAAATATTGCGATGCCAATTTTTGTTCAGTGTGATGATTAAGTGACCGACAGTACGTCATACTGTCACCATCACAAAATGTCAAGCTCACCAAATCTCTCTGGTCTTCTTGCACAAGGTCCATTTTGTGCACAAGGCAGAATACTTTGGCATCAGGGGAGTTCTGCAGGATGGCTTCCAGACACGACTGGTAGTAGTGCATGTCTTTTTCCAGCTCACGGCTCTCAACGTCGAATACATAAATAAGCACCTCCACGTTTCTGAAAATGTTGTCCCTCTGACTGGTGAAGTAGTTCTCCATGAATGTGTCCTGTCTGATGTGCAAAGAAGAGCAGAGCAGTGTTTGACATGGATTCTCCGACTAGGCAAAAGCATTGACTGTATGTAAATATGGATGATGCTTCACCACTTCTCTTTATTATGCAAAAGCAAAGCCAAAATATTGTGAATATAGTGGCTGCCATCTTGGCATTTAGCAACCAGATACTGTGCTGTAGCAACCGAGTGGCACATCAGACCGCCAATCAAAACTGTCAAATCCTCCAAAATACACCCCTTTTTACAGTATATCATCAAATAACTTAACAAAAACAACCTTTCCAGAAGCATGACCATCTGTACACACATCAGCATGATAATATTTACCAAATATATCAGAAATCACTTTTGGAAAAAAATTATTTGATCTGTACTTCACCTTCACTCCGATTTCCCTATTTCAATTAAAAGAGACCTTAGCTTACTTAAAAATGACCTCTTCAACCCTTGACCTGCTTCCTGCCAGGTTCATCAAGGAGGGTTTTGATGTTCTGGGTCCCATTCTGGTCATGTTTATTAATCTCTCCTTGGACATGGGTGTGGTCCCGACTGCTCTAAAGCATGCGATAGTTCGCCCACTCCTTAAAAAAAAAAACCTAATCTCGATTCCTATTTATTGTCGTCTTCCTTTTTTGTTCAAAATTCTGGAAAAAATCGTAGTTACCCAGCTGCAGGTTCATTTAGATTGTTTAAATATTGCCGATAAGTTTCAATCTGGCTTTAAGCCCCGCCATAGCACAGAATCCGCGTTACTTATGATTCATAATGATATCACTATGGCTCTCGATACCAAATGTCCTGTTTTGTTAGTTCTTTTGGATCTATCTGCAGCCTTTGATACTGTCGATCACACTATTCTTTTGTCGAGACTTGAACACCTAGTTGGGCTTAAAGGCACTGTGTTAAACTGGTTTTCTTCCTTTTTGACCGACAGAACCTTCTCTGTTAGTATTGGTGACTGCGTCTCTAATATAGCTCCCCTCACCTCAGGTGTTTCGCAAGGTTCGACCCTGGCTGCATTACTCTTTTCTCTATATATTTCACCTCTTGCAGCTATTATATCTAGCCATAATGTTCATTTCCACTTTTACGCGGACGATGTTCAGATTTATATGCCCCTGCTCCTATCTGACTCCAGTGCTCTTACACTGTTGCATAATTGCATTCGGGATATTAGGCAATGACTTGCGCTAAATTTTCTGCAGTTAAATGAGAGTAAGACCAAATACATCCTTATTAGTCCTGCTCCGTCGCCTGATGTTAACCTCTGCACTTCAGTCTTCCATCTATCTGACACGGTGAAAAATCTCGGTATAATTCTTGATAGTGGTTTTATTTTTGAGACTCTTATCTAAGGTTAAACCTTTTTTGTCACATGGAGATCTGGAGAAGGATATTCATGCATTTATTATCTCACGGTTAGATTATTGCAATGCTCTGTATGTTGGTCTTCCCCATACTTTGCTTCAAAAATTACAACTAGTCCAAAATGCAGCAGCTCGGTTGCTATCTAACACCCCCAAGTTTGCTCATATCTCCCCTATTCTCCATGCTCTTCACTGGCTTCCAATCCAATTCAGAATTAAATTTAAGATTTTATTGTTTGTTTTTAAGGCTATTCATGGCCTCACACCTTCTTACTTATCTGACCTGTTGGCAATGTATGTGCCACGGAGAGCTCTCCACTCCGCTGATCATTTGTCGCTGGTGGTCCCACAATCCCGCTATAAGAAATGGGCCGACCGTTCCTTTTCTATTTGTAAATGCACTGTATTTATATAGCACTTTTCTCACAGTGTGTTGCACTGGCCAAAGCACTTTACAGGAGATCATACACCATTCACACACCAATGACAACAGGCTGCCACGCAACGGCGCTAATCAAGCCACCGGGAGCAATTCAGGGTTCAGTGTCTTGCTCAGGGACACTTAGGCATGCGGGGAGACCGGGAGTCGAACCACCAACTTGCTGGTTAGGAGACGACTACCCTACCTCGTGAGCCACAGACTGTGGAATGCTCTGCTGGTAGAACCACGGGCGGAAAGCGAACCAGTGGCCTTTAAGTCGGCCTTAAAGACCCACTTTTTAAGCAGGCTTAGCTTGTTTTATTGTTTTGTTTTAGCTTTGGTCTAGCACCCTAGTATTTCCTTATCTGTTTTATAGTCATTGTTTTGTGTGTTTTTATTGTACAGCACTCTGGTGCTCCTGTGAGTTGAAGAGCGCTATATAAATAAAGTTTTATTATTATTACTTTGAGTTTTCCGTTCAGCTCATGTCCCATCCACTGACACGGAGGGGGTGGGATTTATGACCTATACTGCAACCAGCCACCACAGGGCGATTGAGCCGGGGTGGCTTCACTTCTGAGAGATGTCATAGCATCCAGCTTTTATACAGTCAGTGGGTAAAAGACGCTGAACTGCCAAAGCTAGTCTAAAGACGAAAATGTACTTTACCCTCCACAGTCCCACAGGTTCAGAACCAGATTGCCAAGAAACCGTACATGGGAGTGTTCCACATCAACTAAATTTAACAAAGGATACAAAAAAAATTATAGATGAGATTAAAGAACACCCAGCATAAAAAATGTAACATCAAGTAGCACCTTTCTTTAAAGTGTTCTTACTTGTAGCTCCAAGGCGGCGTGTGTCACGAGCTATGTAATTAGCAAAGATGATTGATCTCATGCTGGTCTTTCCAGACCCGCTTTTTCCCATCAGTAGCACCTAAAAGCACAAATGCAGGAAATTAAACCATCATCACAAATCTTTCTTCTCTACTCTAGCAATAAGTAACAAAAACAATACCACAATGTAAAAACATTTCATCAGAATGCAACATTTAGCTAACTTAACAAAACATAATCTTGGGGGAGAAACAAAATCTTTCATTTTATTTGAATTCAGTTTAGCTGATTTGTCAAATATCAGCTTAAAGATAATGACGCTAAAAATATCAGAATTACCCTTTAAAAGCCCACCATGTGTGCTTAGTCTGTGATTGGTGAATGAGACATTCTCAAGACATAAAAACTGAAAAAATCTTTTAGAGAATGAAACTGATGGTCATTTGATGTTTTGATTCAACGATCCCTTGACTCCTAATTTACTTAAAAAACAAATAACCTACTGCATATTGTGCATTTTCTATTGTTATGGTAGGGATGACTGCAGCTTGCCAAATCATTTAAGGTATTGAAATATAGCAAAATCTCCAGATTTACACTTGGTAGAAAGCACCATATTGTACTCTGCTGAATCCATTAAAAGGTAGTTTGGAAAATGGGCACTCTTAAATGTAAGTACAGTGTAAACGTATTTCACTGCTGACTGTGAATATTAAAGGAGTCAGTGATTAGCTCTTGCTTCACCTTTTTCTTCATTGCTGTGCTTGACATCCCCTTCAGCAGAGACGATTAAGTATACTTCTCAGAGCTGCAGGTCAGATGATTTCAGTTTATGTCGGCAGCGACTCTCTCCTTCTTTTCCTTCAGCTGCGGAGCAAATAAATATTTTCACCTAACTGTCACGTAGCTGACTTTGCTGAAGCAGAAACCCGATATAACCACAGTCACTGGACACGTCTTAACGCGTTAAATAACGAACAAGCCAAACATATTCAACTAGTCACGAGTTCAGTAGAAGGTCTAGAATAAAAAAGTAAATCAGCGCCGTTATTCCAACTCCTTACTCTGCTCCGGAGAAAGGCTAGCTAAGCTAGCTAGCACGAAAGACAGTCCAGGCAAACGCCAGGTATCTTAGGAAACCTAAACGACTAGCTAGCTAAGTTAAACTTTCGTCGTGGATCATCGAACGGTTACTTATATACAAGCAAATTTACAATATAACTTTTATTTGTTAAAAAAAATACAGCTGTATGCATTACTCAGTGGAAGCAGGCAGTAAAGTCAAGATCAGCTGCTTCCTGTTTACGCCAAAAGTCACATGATGATGAAATGGGTTTGTGCTCTGAGCTTTATCTCCTGGAGAGCTTTAGATCGTTTTCAGGTTGTTTTCATATATAGGGGCAGTCACTGATTAAATATGTATGCTTAACTTTGGGTTGTAAAACATACATTTAGGGTTAGAAAAGTTAATGAGGTTTTAGCGATTTGGGAATTAGAGTTAAAAACAAACAGTACACAGACAAAAAACTAGTTTATCATTTTTCTCTTTGTATATTAAAAATCTTTTTACATTTGTTATTGCACAATAGAAGATTTAAAGCTAGAAATTTTTAAATATGCAACTAGCTATACTTCAATCAGATCCACTGGGTATTTTTCCACAAGTTATCACGTTTATGCAATGTTGCAATTCCTAGAGTGGCCACTAGGGAACAGTTGAGTCCATGCCATAGACTGTCTATGCTCCATATAAAGTCACATCTGCCAACTACACGTGTGTCAGTCAAAATAATACGATACTGCGACGTCCGGAAAAATCTTTCAAAATAAAACCATCACAAAGAAGTTAATATTATGGCTACCCTATGAAATGCTGTTAATTAAGTGGACCAACTTCAACAAAGTTAGTATTTATTGGAAGACTGTTATGATAGAAGACCCTACTATTTTTAAGTATTATTGAATAGGCCCACAGTACGAAGGCATGAATACATATACCAAAAAAAATCACACTGTCACAGTCCCTGGGCTAACAGTGATGGTTTTAAAATCTGTTTTGTGTGTATGGAGTTGTAGTTTCTTACTGTGACTACCATAGGGCAGTATAATGCCTGGTAATTATACATTGTTTGTTCATATTGGGTAGCTTAATTTCTTTTACTTTCTTATTCTTTAAAACTTTTCATTCTTGTTAATATCCTTCCATCAGCCAGGATCAAATCAGCAGTAGCAAGGATTTACTGCACACAAAGACAAGACCTCTAATATATAACACAACAGCTGGCCTAACACATACTGGACATGACAATTTATACAGTATTTAGAGACAGTACTGAGGACGCACACTGTATGCATGCCTTTTAGTGGCATGATGTAAAGTAGTCCTATGCATTATATTAGGTACCAATATTTTACAAATAATGGTCCTACATAATACTGATAGATGACACCCTTTGTCTGCTGTTCACCCCATTTATAAGTGCTCATACTTCAACAGAAATACACACTGCAACACTTTCTGAAAGCCAAGGATATTATATAGTACGTGAGAATAAATATTTATATAGAAATACTACAAATTAATTGAAAAGGAAAATAAAGGCACCATAAAATTTTATTGTTTACTTGCCATTATGTAATCCTCAAATTATAACCCCTTCCTAAATGATAAGTGAAAATACTGAAGGTGACCCGATTCACACTAATTATTCAGCATCTTCTTAAAATATCTGTCAGAAGATAAAACAAATCCACATAAGAAGTCACCTGTGAGGAGGAAGGTCTAACACACTCTGATGCCAAGAAAAGAAAATGCATGTTTAGTTTTTTTTTTGCAATCATGCACTTATAAACAAAAAACTGAAAAAAAAAAAACATCTTCACCACAAGGATAGAAAATAAACTATATATACATGGTAACAATTGTCTTAGTCCATTTTATTTTAACGTATGAAGTTTTAAAGTATGCATATTTAACAAAACATTACCTAAGATCTTCCTGGTAAATATGTATTTTAGGAATAACGCACACATCCATAGCCAGTAAATTTCTAAGCTTTCAGAAAGGTGTCCAAAGAATGCATCTAATCACCGCAAGGTTATTATCAACACAGAATCAGCAAAGGTCATATCTGTGGGGGAAAAACAGCAATACAGAAGCTCCTCAACAGAAACACAAGGTGTAAAGAGCAGAAAAAAATATGATGCTTTGGGAGTAATATTCAGGTAGTGTACAGGCATTCCAGAGCTCCACGTCACAGTGTCTGTCCACCACAGTCTTCCTTTAGATTTGATCTCTGAGCCTAGAGAGCCTTTGAGACAGTTCATCCTTTGGACATAAGAAAACAAAAACAAGCAATGGTGAGGAAATAAGGACAAGAGAAGAATCAGGGTTATTTGGAGAATATATTTCCTTTGTCTTTTTCACTGTCTCTGTAATGGTGAGGTTGTTACATAATTTAAAATTATCTATGTCAGATGTAACCTGATTTTAAAACCATGATGTTGTGAAAAGGAAATGTACCTGTTCTGCAGAAGCTACACTGGTGCCAACTGATCCCATCTGTCCCTGAGGGAGCTCCATGTTCAGGTCCAATCTACACATGATGCACACAATAACATTTAAAACTCATTTTTAGATTTAAAAAAAAAGACTATGTCTTTGCTTACATTACACTGTCTAAAACACTTGTCGATAGACATCTATCAAATTCTTTGAAATAACAACGGATATTTACACTCGTGCCTGTACTCTGTGAACGCATACCCCTGAATATGTGATGTAACATTATTTCACACAGAATGCTGGGACAAGAAAATGATAAGCTTACCCTGCTTCATCAGCCATTTCATGCAGCAATGAATCCACTTGACTCTGAAACACAAATTAGACACACACAGATTTACATTTAATGTACTTAAAACACACTGTAAAGATTATAAGAGCAGAGCAGAAGAGCATACCTGTGGTGTTGTGAGTGTTGTTGAGCTGCTCATGGTGTCCTCCATTTGGGCTGTCTGAACATCCAGAGTTTCAAACTGGCGTTCAAACTTGTCCATGAGGGATGAAATCTAAAAACAACAACAACAACAACCAAACAAACAAACAAACAAGGGATTGAGATACTGTTTTATAACTCTGGGGGAACTGTTAGCAAATGTTAGACTTGTACACTGTTTTTGATAAAAAGAAATATGGACAACATTATTATTCAGTGTTTAAATGACACTATACCTTTTCCAGATTCATACTCTTCAGAACAGTGTCCATGCCTTTTACCACCCCAGCCATAGATTTTGTTACCTGGGAAATGAAACACCATCATTAAAGGCTTTATTAAGTCTAAAATGCCAATGCTTAGCGTGTAACTGTACTGACGCAGTATTCGATGTACCTGGTTCATAGTAACTGCAGTTTGGACCCTTGCTGCCACTGCATCAACCCGTGCGCTCATCCTCAGGAAGTTCACAGACTGGTTCTTCTGTCTGATGGCATTCTCTGCATGGATCCTTGCTACTTCCACATTTCCTTTCTGGATGGCCTTGAAAGGACAGGAAAAAAAGTCATTCAGTAAAATCTCATGCAGCTGATCAACCACTTAGCAGTCCACCACAATGTGTTATCTCATGTACTTTTTTGACTTTAGCCTTCTCTAATTTTTCTTCTTTGTCACATTTCTTGGAATTTCTTTGGAGTTCTTTGGCAGCAAACTTTAAATTGAAGAGATTTTCTGAAATATGAGGTTAAAGAAGAACAAATTCCAGACAAAAACAACAAGCAACCTTGGATAACCACTTTTATTACTGTGCTTAAAAACTCAGTGTTTCATGTGAGTTTGCAAGACTGATGATGGTATTTGTAGGGATGCACCAATCCTATCCATCTGGTTTCAGCACTGCTGCTGACCATATTAAACAATATCAGACCAGATGTGACCAATTGTAATTAAATAGTTTCTTCATAAATGCTGCAATAAAATTCAGTTTTTATACTATCAGTTACATCCTGTCACATAGGGCCACCGACTAGTACTACAGCAAATTTTGAATTTAAGAAAAAGAGAACACTGGTATTAGATAGTCACCTTGAGCTGAGGCTTCTGAATCAGTATTGGGAGAAAAAAAATTTGATTGCTGAATCCCTACAAATTAGTAATAAATACAATTACCACAAAATATATGCCACACATTAAGCCTGGAGTCTTCGGGTCCCTCTTAGAAACTGGGGGTCCAGAATAGGTGCCTACTTTCTCATTTAGTAATATTTGGGTGTATCTTCTATGTTCTCATATAAACAATTTTATAGTACAGCTAGATCGATAAATCTGCAGTGTTGATATAGCTGCACATATATTGGGATTAGTAGATTTATCAGTCAACAAGTAATAATGTTAAGACAGAATCACCAAATTAGGTGTGAAGTTATTTATGATCAGTGTCTCCATCACATGGTGTAGCTTACCCACCACAGAATACTGACAAATTGATTTTTCTACATCTTGAGGAGTATGTACTGTATCTTGATGTGTTATATATTAAGACAAAACAAAATCAGATGAAATGGTTATTAAAACTGCTGTAATTAAAAAATCTGCCAATATATTGTTGTTTGATTTTGTTTAATCTTCCAAATAGTAACTTCAGTTTTTGCTGAAAAAAAAAATCCATTATCTGTCAAGTTGTAGGTTAAAGTTCGAAATACCTGTTTACTTTGTAGCAATGCAGTGACAAATACAGGTTATGTAACTGATATTTTAGAACTTCTTATAAATGTATTAGTGTTTATGTAGTTCCTGTGAAACCTGCATGGTACTGCTTTAAAATAAAGGCTGTCATAATAAGATTACCAGATAAAAATCGGTCCGGTTTAAATATCATGCCGAGCACATGTTACTATTTATTATATTAACCGACACCCAACTAGATCATCTGGTATCTATTGTTGGGAATTTCCAGGCGTTAGCAAACACCCTTTCAAGGCCTTCATGGTGTTTACGACTCCTACAATTTAGTAGGAAATGTTCAAGTTATTTAACAGGGCAGCACTTGTGCCTTTGCTGAATATACAAACCTATACAACAAACTTTCACACTTCGGTAATACATAAATCTCATCAGATTCGCCATAAAGTATCGTGTTATGTTCGCTCTTTAAGTCCTTGTTTTGACGTTAAAGTACACCACCGTCTGGTGTCCCTTTCTCACCACAGTTTTTAAAAGGATACTTTCCATGCTGGGCATCTTGAGGTGACCCTTCGCGAATCCAACAATTACCCGATCGAATATGTACAGACAGACGGCAAAAAACTAACGATTTAAGGCAAAACGTATCAGTAAAACTTCAGTCTTTCTGGTTTCGGTGTTCACACTCTTCCGCACTTCCTGATGTCTCACCAAAATATGATCGACGTCATTGTCACGTGGTAGCGGTATTCCATGCAACGTCACCAGAGAGTTCTCCCCGCCTCCTCGGAAAATGTGAATGAAAATAGGAAAAAAACAAACAATTAACACCAAAACGCGTCACTTCTAATGTTTTATGCTTGCGACCGTTCTGCTATTTTTCTGTGACTGAATACAGCCAGATGAAAGTTGATGTGTTGTTGTACCGGCGGAGAAGTGGGCGGTGAAAGCGGCTGATTGATGATTAGATTGACGGTGTGGATCACGGCGGGGGGGAGAGAGGATGACTCACTCCGTCTGATGTGATGTTCACCCCGCAACAGCTCGCCAGTGCGGTGGCACGTCGGTGTAGTTCAGTTCAGCCTGACATATCGGTATGATCCTCCAATAAAAGTCTAACTTTAACAAACTATTAAGAATATTGCGTTTGGATGCTCTTAAAATACCCAGTTAGTTTTAAACTTGTGAGGCTGTCACTTGGTAGTTAGAGGGAGACCGAGGGTCGTGATTTACCGTAAATTTCGTGACGCCTGATTGCCATGGAAACAGTGCTGCTGCGCTGAGAGGAAACTGTTAACTTCAGCATCAACCTCCAGCGGGGTCGGATAAACGTAGCTCACTGTTTATCTCTGTTCTTGTGTTGCTGCTCTGGCTTTACTTTTTCATTTGGATTTGGCAACAAACCAGGTGAGTTTTGTTGTGTTATTGTCTCATTGTGGCAAAGCGCAGTTAACCTTACAGTTCCCCCCTATATTACATACTTTCAGCCAAGATATTAGCCTGTTCATTTAACTGGCTGGCTGTCAACTTGTGAGCTGCGTGTGTGTGTGTGTTGCAAGTATGATGGATCATAAAATATAGAATCTGAATCGTGTTGAACTAATTGATGTTTTAGTTAGTTGATGCATGTGCAATATTCAGTCCAGAGTTCAGAAAGCTGTAGTGAAAGATTAAAGAACAAACGGCTCGTGCAAAATGTTGTTAGTCAGGGCACTGTATCAACATGTGTATCTTCAGATCGCGACAATCTAGACTGAATCATATAGGCCTAGTCAGTTTTATGCTATAATTCACCAGGTGTTGAATGCCACAACTCTCAGCGCCACCTTAAGTGATGCATTTTGTGCTGTTTTTGCGCACAAGGAAAGAAACCAGGCAGCCAACGAGTGATGCTTCAGTCAGTGGCTGTATGACTCATATAGTATTATCTATAAAGAAGCCAAGTGGCAGAAGAGCAGTCTTGCTGCATCGAGCTGATGTAACCCGCGAGGTTCACTAGAGGATGCTGTGAACCACGCTTCCCTGTGCCCCGAGTTAGACGGATGACCACCAAATACTAACAAAAGCTGAAAATGTAGAGATGCTCTTTACAGTAAATCACATGCCCATGTCCGAGTGGAAACAATACAAATAAAAACCAACATGATATCTATTTTTTCACTGACATATAGTCGCTTTGACTATATTTAATTTAATTCATTAAAACACAATACAATATATACTGTATATTTTTGAAGCAGTTACATTATATGTTATCTTTATAAAAAATACACCTAAAATAAAATTAAACAATGGCCTATAAAATAGTTATTGAAACTTAACACTAGAACAATATAGCCCATGATAAAAATTAATATAAATTATGCTGAACTTCTTAATATATTTGTCGCATATTTGGTTTCAAAACTAGCATTTTAAGGATTTTAATAGGATTCACCTTTGACCTCACACACAAAATAAGTGAGTATAACAAGCCAATAATACCAACCACATCTGATGGTGCATCTGCACATTTTTCTGTCAGGCTTTAGGACATATCATAGATTCATATGCTTTTGGGAGGGATGTGTGGGGAGGGGTATTTGCTAGAAATAGCAGTCTACCAGTAGCAAAAAAAAAAGTGTAATCTTCTTTATCTTTTTAATGTGTATATACAGTGTCTTAGCATGACAAGAAAAATGTTTTAAAGCATTTTATAATTAAATTAGTGTCTATTATTGCATGAAGAGAGCATTCATCATCATTCATCAAACACTCCAAGGATCCTCAACTGACCTCTAAAGGGATCTGAGAGGGTCCTTTAAAGCCACAAGCAATAAGCTAAACCTGACATTTGCGTCTGTACTGAGTGAGTCTGCATACATTACTGATGACGTACCTTTCTTCCGCAATGTTTTCACTTTGTAACAGCAGGCGTAAACACATTATCGACCGTCAGCATGCTGTTTGTTAGTAAAACTATGCAAGTAAATATGCAATAATGCAATAAAGTGTAACCACAGTAATATAAGCCTAGCGTGGCATGATTTCAGTGCTCCTATTCCAGAGGATGAGCACTTACTGTATACATTCAGCTACAGTATAAAAACATGTCTGGCTTGTCTCTTAAAGATCTACCAACCTGTAGCTGAGAACCAGTAAATGAGTAACAGGTGAGTCACCAGTATCTAGCAGATGGGTGCATGATCAGGTAGGAAATTCAACCTGGCACCAACTGAATGTTTATCTAGCGTGGCCAACAAGTAAAGTAGTATGAGAAACAGCTGATTTACACATTTACAATGCTGCTGGAATGTATTGTATCTCAGTCAGAAGAAAGTCCTCTTCAAACTCAGTGCATTGAGGGAGGGGTTGAAAAGTAAGCACATCCATTTTACTGTTTTTACAGCTCAGTCACAGCCAATCACATCTTACACATTGCATTCGATTAGCCAAAGCAAATATTACATTTTTTGTTATAATATATAATATATACATATACCTGTCATAAATAGATCGATAGATGTGAAAGCACATTTACTGTATGTTGCAGATAAATCTATTGCTTGTTGACCTTTGATAATATTAAATTAGTTATACTGCATCACAAGTGGCTTATGTTTGAGCACTTACGATGTCAGTTGACTTTACCATGTTTTGTTGCTGTTGCCACCTAAGGGCAGCAGCACGTCAGACAAGTTCATCATTGAGACATTTTTGGTCCTTTGAGTTTGTTGCTGCCCTTTATGCTCAATGTCAAAATTGCACATTTTCAAATCCAGCTGATAAACAGTGTCACAATCACAGAGGATTAGCTTTGTTTGACTGCACTTGTGCATTTGAGAATTTGGGGAGCAAAGGAAAACAAAAGGGCAAATGTCAAGTCTTTGAAGGCCTACTCTTTGAAGTAAAAAAATGAATGAAAAATATTCTCAGTGATAAGGATGTAGACAAGGTGCTGGGATGATACAGGCAATGTATGGAGAAAACAAATGTGTTTTCCATGCACGTTGCCATTTGTAAAGGGCATCTTGCACAAAAGACAAAAAGGTAAGCCTAGTGATGTGTTAGTCTAAGAAAAAGTATTTTTTAGATTACAATATGTTTTCCAATCTGTTTCACTGCTTCAGTCTTTCATTACCCAGTATTCTTCACATTAGACTTTAGCTATAATGTGATACATTTATCAGACCTCTATTCTACAGGTGAGGATAATGGAGCTTCAATCAGAGAAGAGGTTCCACAACTTGACCCTCGAACAAGTCCAGGCCCTGGACAAGGTCTTGACAGAGGTAATACCGATCCATGGAAGAGGAAACTTTCCTACATTGCAAGTGAGAGCAAAAGACATCATTCATGCAGTGAAGGATCGGCTGGTTGAACGAGACATCCAGGTGAAAGATATCCGGCTTAATGGTGCCACTGCCAGCCATGTCCTGGTGAGGGATAACGGCCTGGGCAATAGAGACGTAGACATTATTTTTGGAGTGGAGCTGCCGAGGCAGGAGGACTTCCAGGTGATTAAAGAGGTGGTGCTGGGAAGCCTACGAGACCTCCTCCCTTGTGGTGTCAACAGACGAAAGATCACCTGCCTGACAATGAAGGAAGCCTATGTGCAAAAGATGGTGAAAGTTTTCAATGAGCACGACAAATGGAGCCTTATTTCTCTGTCTAACAACAGAGCTAAAACCTTAGGGCTCAGATTTGTCAGTTCCCTTCGAAGACAGTTTGAGTTCAGCGTGGATTCTTTTCAAATAATATTAGATCGTATGCTGGAGTTGTACTGGGAGACTGAGAGGAAACAAGGAGGAAATCTGACATTGAAATTGTCTAAAAGAGACAATATGGATGAAAACAAAGAAGAACAATCACATGTATCTCAGGATGTTAAAGAAAATACTGAAAAAGATTCAGGAATGGCAGCAAGTTCAGAAAGCCTGTGTAAGGATGAAGCTGTTTCTGTCCTTGAAAAAGAGCTTCCACATGCAGAGACTGAGAATGGGGATGAAAAGCATGAGGCGCAGCACGTGTTAGAACCTGAGCGCATTAACGTAAAGCAGGAGGAAGGTGAAGCGGATGGCATAGAGGATGTTCATTCAGAGGAGGACATTGTATTTGAGCTATGTGATGAAAACGGAGAGGAGAAAAGACAGTGTCACAGTGACTATCCCTTAGTTTCAACTCCTAAAACTTTATTCACAGAAGCAAGGGATCCGCTGGATCCGCTGATGACACATGTGTGTTTAAAGCTACAGAGTAATGACACAGAGCTATCTGTGTCACATGCTTCCCAGCAAGCATCTGTAACTCATACAGAAACGCCAGCTCCACTGGAAATAGTCCAGTGTGAAGAAATTCCTCAGTTCAAAGCAGACTCGATAATCCGCAGGACTGAAAATACCTCAAGCTTCCAAGAGTCACATCTTGAATTCTCCTTCCCTCCTCCAGCTAAGAAAACTTGCAGCACATCACAGGACATTGTACCGGACTATTGCCCCTCACCAAAATTACAAAGAAAAATGTCACGGAAGTTGATCAGCAACCCTGAAAAATGGTCTTTACTCACTGATTTGTCAGATCTTACAACTGAGCTGTTTGCACCCATAGAAATACCAAAACCACTTCAGGCAAAGCCTTTACTGGATAGCACTCAAGTTCAGTGTTCAGATGTACCCAGCTCCGAGTCGGAGAGCTTTGAGGGTACAGATACTCACACACTTCCCATGTGCAGTTCATCCAGTGTGCTTCAGGGTGTAATTGGCTCAACTGAAACTGTAGGACAGGTTGTTAAACCAAAACACTCAAAGAAACCTCCTCATTCAGAGACTCAGAGTCACACACGTGCAACAAATTCAGCCTCACAGCCTCAGGCTGATGAGCAAAACCCTGAGCTGGCAAACACTGTCTCGAAAAGCTGTGGAGCAAGCGCCTGGGTCAGAGCAGCAGGGGAGGCCACCATCACTGTCGAAGCAGAGTGCATGTTTGGAGACTTTGAGCAGGCGATAGACCACCTTCGCCATCGTCTCATAGCCACCCACAGCCCAGAGGAGATCCGAGGAGGGGGCCTGTTAAAATACAGCGACCTGCTGGTGAAGAACTTTAGGCCAACCAGCGAGACAGAGATCAAGTCCCTGGAGCGATACATGTGCTCCCGCTTCTTCATCGACTTTCCTGATGTAAGTGAGCAGCAGCGGAAGATCGAGGCTTACCTACACTGCCATTTTATTGGCAGTGAAGAGGCGAGCAAGTACGACTACCTGATGACCCTGCGGCGCGTGATAGATGAAAGCACAGTGTGTTTGATGGGACATGAGAGGAGACAGACACTCAATATGATCACAGTCCTGGCTCTGAGAGTGCTGGGCGAGCAGAATGCCATCCCCAACACGGCCAATGTCACCTGCTTCTATCAGCCTGCGCCGTATGTGACAGAGCCCATTTTCAGCAGTTACTTCATCACCCAGGCCCAGGCCCCACTCATCTACCACCCCTACCCTTTACATCTCCACATGCAGACTGGCCTGGTGTAGCTACTGTGACATGCCCACAGAGTGGCATGTAGGCTGCTTTCATCACAGTGCTCTGCAAGCAGAGGCACAAATGGCAGTTTTAACAACAACAAGCAACTACGGGCACAGTGTTGTTTAATGCTTTGTAACCCCCCTGTTTATGACATGAAAGATCATGAAAGGTTAGAACTGAAAGGGGTCTGGAGGCAAAGAATGTGACCCATTCAAGTTGAGGACTTTTGAAAAGGAAAGAAATGCTAAGAGCCGGCTTTTCAGAGATCTCCCAGAGGGAGTTTCACTGAAGCGGAAGGACGTTGTTTAAAGCTGTTTCAGATCTGTTTTGGCAGGGCTCTGTTCTCCTGTTGAGAAGAATGTTCTAATGTGATAATTCTCTGTGGCTATGAGCTAAACTTACATAAAGCATAATCTCTGACAAAAAAATAGTGATAAAGTTTGAATAATACATTCTTAATGTTTCCAAGGGGTTAAAAGCCCATATAGCTATTTTGTGAATCATCATTCTCTGTAGAGTAAAATTCAGCATGTGGCTGTACCTGTATATTTACTGTATAGAAATAGGACCCCATTTACTGAAGATGTAAATGACATAAATGAGCAAAATTTGCTGTGATGTTCTGTAATTGTGAATGTAAGCATCTTATTTGAAAGGCAGGAAGTTGAGTTCCATTAGGGGCAGTATGAAAATTACAGGACAACATAAGCAAACATCCAATCAACTTTCAACAAATTTCGATTCAAGGCAGTGCTGAGTTCTGATTGGTTCACTTAAATACATGTCCCCAGCTTTGTCCAACACTCCACTGCCCACGTCAAACTGGTGAGATTGCCAATGACAAAACCAGAAATACAGGAATCTTGTGAAATAACCAAAACCTTTCAAACTTGGGACAGGAAGCTATCTCTTCATGTAGGAACCCTTTAACTATTTTTATATAGTTTTAACTAACTTTACATAGTGTTAACTATTAACCAAAGTGTAAAGAAAATGCAAAAACTATTGAATTTATGAGAAACAACAATAAAAGACCCTCCCATTTTCACCCAAAAAATACTCCCCTACCATTAATCAGAAGAATAATTTCTATATCCTTTTCCTTTTTCTGGCCCCATCTCACCCCTAATAATAATCATTTTCACAGTCCCTCAGAATGTAAAACCAAACACTGAGTTGCTTGTAGCCAGTAACACGTTGTCGTCTTAGCAAGTTTCAAGCCGTGCTTTTGCATTGTAATCATGTCAGCATAGTCATGAACATGGAACTGTGCGTGTATCTCTGACTTTTGTGAAAAAAATTCTCATATTTCTCACAATAGAAGTATCACAAGGATTTGCCTCCTGATGGCTTCATAACAATAGACTTGGCTGTCTTGTTTTTGATTTTGAAGAAAAATGTGGATAACTTGTTGAATCCTGTTCTCACATTTACAATCTTCAACAGGCTGAATTGACTTTTCGTGTATTAAATTGTGACAGCTGTTTACTTTGAATGTAGTGAATGCCATTTGTTGCCTGCCATTGTGTGCAAAAATGTTACTGCATATTTCAGTTATCCAAGCAGTCCTGGATGCAGCTAGCATTCGCCGCACTCTGTCCCTGTGTATTTGTTCACTGTGCACCTGCAGTACATGTACTCGGCATTTTAAAAAGGACAATTTAAGTACAGGTTTGGATATGTGGGCTGTTCACACTCAATCTGAGACCGAAGAACAATGTTAATGCGCCTACCTGATGCTGAGTAATGAAGGTGTCTCTGACATGCTCATGAATTTCCAGTTAAACACGAGAGACGTCTAAAATAGTGTGTGCATTAGTGCCCCATGTAGATCTAAGGTGATGTATCTATCGTGAGAATTTGTGTCTGTTGTTTATTGTTAAGGAACTGTTTCACCAGTAGAGAATGTCAAATATCTCTGTCTAGCTGTTGCTCAGATTGTTGTGATATTGAGATAATAAATAAGACACGGCCATTCTTTGTCTGGAGTCTTCACTTGATGGTCTGAGTTACCATTTTATTTTCATCATTCTGCAAGGCCATTCATCTGCACAGTTGTTGTTTCATGCATTTTAATTCAATTATAGAGTAAAATCACCAGTATTATTACTCAGCAACTTCAGGTTTTACTAGATCATATTCACTGATGTTGGTTTCTTAGTGCCACTGCAACAGTAGTGCTGAAGGTTAGAAATTAAGGATTGATATTTATTTCTTTTTATACATACAATACATGACCTATGATAGTACACATGATGCTGTTTAGTCTCCTTCTTGTCTTTTTCTGATTTAACACCTCACACATTCCCTTTCAATCAGCTTGCATCATTTGGTTTCTTAAGAGCTTTGATTTTTTTCAGCCAATTCAATATGTATACAAATTATTATACCATTTTAATTATACTTTTAATTACGTTACATTTATTTCCAAAATACTTAACGTGGTGAGGAGTTAAACTAACAGGCTGCTGGAAGTTAAAACAATGTTGAAACAACTTTTCCAGCTTCATTCAGTGTAAACCCTGCCTGCTCGGTCAGCCTGTCTGGTTGGTCTGCCTTAATTATGACAAGCTATAAGAATATCCTGCTGTTAGGTGGTGACAAAAACATCCTGAGAGTTTGTTCCACAGTACACAAATACAGCTTAAGCCTCAGTTTCACCTCTCTATTTGGGACCTTTGTACAGAAATTATTAGACAACTGTGTATATGTAATCCTGAGAGGGTTTATAGGAATTTTTATGATTTCTAATTTTTTATATGCATTATACACACTTTTCCATTAATATATTACTTGGATATTCCACTGCTGATACTCAACCATCTGTTGGCAACATCAGTTGTATTTTGCTGCATTTATACACGTGGCCTGTGTAATTATGACTTTTTTAACCTGGAAGAAACACATTTATTTAGCTAACACAACGTTTATTTAACCATATTAAGCCAGAAACTCAACTGCGCACTGCTATTCTCACAACTTAAAAAAAAATGTGCCTTTTTGTGTCAGTTTAGTCACTAATTAGTATTAAATGAGCCAAAGTGATTTTTAGCACACAGTGCATATTATGAGTGTGTGATAATATAACAATAAACCCTTGCCTTCTTAATGTCCTGAATGTCTGTATGCACTCATGTAACAGACTTTGCTATGCACCTTGGTATCCATTTAAGTTACCTTTGCCTCTTTATGCATCGATCCATTTAAATTCCCATGATCCCCCAGTGTCTCTGCAGTTTCTAGGTGTGGCAGAGCACAGTGCGTCACAGCTTCCCCTTGTTTGTTCCTTGTCTGAATCACCCCAGCTTTCAGTGCACTAATACAGGTAGGCAGTTTCAAATGGTACAGCCAGGTTTGTGACTGTGTCTAGCAATACGAGTGCTTTGAAACAGTTGAATCTTTGCCTTTATTGCATGTTTATGACCCATTGTGAACACCACAGATGACTCAGACCCAGTGTTGGTGAACAGGGCTCGATCCTTGTTCTAGGTTAACTCTGACATACATTATGATTCATCATGGAATTACTCTAAAATAATATCAACAGTTTTAAGAGAAATTTCATTTTTATTAAAAAAAACATACAACCAAAACATTGTGTATAAAAAACAGTCACATAAGCTTATTCCACCTACAGCAGAATGCTATTTTTATATTTGTCACCAACTAATCTGATGCTGAGGCAAGACTAAATCATCTACTTTATGAAAATAAGATCCCAAAATATGAATCAGTTTTCTCACACTCAACCAGAACAATTTCAAAGATGCCAGTTAATGCTGCCACACGGTGCACCCTAGATGCTGATTTGTGTTTTATTTCTGAGAATCTGACACGAACCAAAGCAAAAACAAAGTAACCTCTGAGGCCTCTGTGAGCATACAGAGGCAGAGTGATGAGGTGGTGTGTTTGGATTAGAGCACCCCAGTGTTAAAATGAGAGTCTGTGAGTCATCGTTCCTCGTATCGCTTGACTGGACACTCACAAAAATTATTTCCCAACCAAGAACTGCACACGCTTTAAAGTAAACATTATTGGTGCAACAAATGAGGGCACATCCATTTTTATACAATTCCCCTACAGAAACGTGAAGTGATCCATCAGGAATTGCAATTATACAACTAGACACAGTGATTCTAATGCCAATTAAACACCTGATTGTATAACATCACAGAAAACATACTGTCACGCCTGTGGTTGATCTACCCGAAGCTAGGACCCCAATAGTTCACAGATGGTTAGAAACAAGTGGAGAAAATAGTGGCATAGCACACTAACAATGATCGACAGTTGCTACATTTCGGTCAAAAGGACAAAAGAAAACACAATTAAGAAGCCAATCACATGAGACTTTCAGCTTCTCCATACACAGGTTGAAGGAGGTTTCAAGTTATAGTATGTTTTACTTGTTCAAACTGTAAAACAACAAGACAGAACAGAGTATGCTGGCACTATTTAAAACATTTTTATGCAAAAATCAAAGTTTTGCCTCATTGCTCATTCTCTTATATCTTTATTACTCAGCTGCCGTGAGGAGTAGATAAATGTGCAAATATTTCCTTTTCCTCATCACTGCTAATCAACCCCATGTATAATACAATGGAAAAATAAATATTTCTGTGGAAGTGAGCTGGCCAGGGACCCTTCTGCACATGCTGGGTGGAGAAGGTGTCTCATGGAAGCAGGTCTGATTTGTGAAGGAGTACAACAGTACAAATACAAACAGGGTGCAGTAGCTTTTTTTTTTTACCCAGAAAAGACAAGGGAAAAAAAAACATACCCTTAACAAAAAGCATCCAATTCTAACTTAAAAACTGAACTGAAGAACCATAAAACAGTCAACAAAAGCAAAAGGAAGCAGGAAGAACATTTAATGTTCATGTATTCTACTGAGCATAGTCCCTCTGAGTCCCCAGTATTGCTAGTATCCAGATTACACTGGTCTACTGGTCTTGCCTTCAGCCACAGACAGAATAAATCTGAATGATGTGAGCGTTGGAAACTAAGGCTTATGATTTTGAAGAAAAACAAAAGTATCAAATCAGTGACCTTTATTGATAATGAGCATGTCAAATGGTGCTAGTGAGAGAACTGGTGATCACAACTAGAATGGGAGCTTTGCTGAATTACTCATGGGGGAAACCCAACAACAGAAAGAGAAAGGTAAAACGTGTACTGTTTTTGGCATTCTTTCATCTTTCTTTGGTGACAGGAGTAAGAAACGTTGACGAAGGGAGGACAAAGAGGAACAGATATAGTGTTTTATTACAGGATATGAAATAAACTGGACGAGGAGGAGAAGAGCAGTGTGGCATCTTAAAGGCTCCTCCAGCGAGCAGTAAGGCAGAGGTGAGTTAATCAATTTGGAGAGGCTCCATGTTGAACAGTAGCTCTGTCGATCAGGGATGTAAACTCCTTGGCAACGTCATGAGCACCAGCCATCAGTGTGAGAGTCAGAAGCAGTCTCAGGTAAAAAGAAAATCATATATTCATATATTATATATACACACTTGTACAAAAGAAAAGGAAAAAAATCCCTGCAGTACTCGTGTAAGAATAATTTTGTGAGGTTTAAAAAGGGGCGACGTGTCAGTGGCTCCAGCCCATGAGGTGGCTGACACGGGCTTTCTCAGTCATACGACGTACCCGTCCTGAGCGGGACATGCCCAGGTTGAGGGGGTCTTCCTTTGACCCATGGCCATCATCCTCAGAGTCGTCCCTGTACATAACTGTCCTGCGTCCCTGGTTGCGTGTGTTGACCCGCCGAGTCTTGCACTGGCTGCCTCTCGCATTGCTAGCTACTACTGCTGCAGCTGCAGCCTCACTCTGCACCTCATCAGAGTTGTCTCCATCATCATCATCATCTTCATCATCATCATCATCATCATCTTCCTCCTCAGGCTCCTCCTCCTCCTCTGGCTCCTCCTCTTCATCGTCATCCTCCTCCTCTCCCTCATCTTCTTCATGTCTTAGATCCACCTGACGTTGCTGTTGCTGCTGCTGCTGCTGCTCTTCCTCTTCCTCCTCTTCTTCTTCCTCATCCTCCTCCTCTTCCTCCTCCTCCTCCGCTGGCAGCTGCACTCGTGCTCTTTTAGGGCTCTGTGCCGTGTCTTCTCCTCCTTTGTGTCTCCTTTTCCCTGAGGCCGCCACCTTACCTTCAGCTGAGAGGCGTGCTGACAGGCGGGGGGCTTTGCTGTAATCGTGATCTCCCCCTTCCATGTAGTTCTCTGCCTCTGAATCAGAGCTGTTATCGCTGTCAGATGATGATGAGGAAGACGAGGATGATGAGGTGGAGGAAGACTCTGACGAGGAGCTGTTGGATCCAGACACCTCCTCGTCATCGTAAGCCTGCACGGCCTCTCGCCCAGAGCTGTTTCTTAGACGCAAGTTACGCTGGTGCCCTGATGTTGACACAAGAGGGTGGTGGATCATTTCTGCATCATAACATCACATTAAAATGAAAAGTGCCGAATGTTATCACTTATGATACCTGACTTCTTCACTGGAGTTGCCTGGCTGAGGGTCACCTGATACAGCCCTTGGTTTCTGTCCTCGCTGCTTGTCCCTGAACTTGGGGAAGAAGGCTGCATGTCCTCCTCCTCTGCTACACTGCTGCTGTGCTGAGCTAAAGTAACAACACAGCGCTAATTACTCCTCATATATGTAGTCACAATAATGCAGCAGTGTTATGTATTACTCTTGATCTTCAGTAATTATATTAATAATTCTTGGATTACTGAAAATTGTACTACTATTGTACTACTATCTTACATAGTATATTGTTACTGTATGTTACAACATGCTGAATTTCAATTTATGTCAATACTGCATCTATAAAGGATCATTTTACCTTGGCTCATTTTTTCTGCTGCTGCTGTCAGCAAGTATTTGCACCACATACATAAAGAACAGTGTCAGAGGAGACTGGATTATTTGCTAAGTGAAGATACTCTCAGTATTTTCTGTGTACGTATTGTAAATGTAACCCTGCCACCAGAGGTTGACAGCCGTGCTAGTGGCTCTGTGAGGCGGTTCTTGGAGCTAAATGCTAATGCTAGCATGCTTACATGCTCACAGCAACAATGCTAACATGTTAGCCAGTATAATATGCACCAGGTTCACCATCTCAGTTTAGCGAGTTAGAATGCTAACATTTGCTAATTAACACTAAATATTGATGGGAATGTCATTATTTGGTCCCAAATGAGAGATTACGGGATTAGCCAAATCACTGCAAAAACAACTGTGGGGGACATGAATTTTTAAACAGAAGTTTATGGCAACAAACTATTTGTATACAAAGTAGGCAACAGCAATCCAAAGCAGTAACACAGAGAGAAATTGACTGTTTTTAGAATAATTTCTGTCCATGTCTACAGTGGAATCATCCTTTGTTAGACACATTTTGATACCAAGAACTTTTAGAAGGAAATGACATTGATTTTCTGACTGGGTAATAAATTAATAAATAATGATTACTACTGTTACCAACACAACAGATTGCAGCAAAAACAGTAAGACAAAACAGTGTAGTCATACCTTCATATCGTCTCTGAGAACGAGTCTTTGTTGAGGTCTGGGATTTTTTTGGCTTTGACACCTTCCCTGACTTGTGCTTCCCTTTAGGGCTAGGCATAAGGAAGCAGACAAAACAAGCAACATTTCAGAATACTTCACTTCGTCATTTAAAATCAGCCTGCCAGGGTGTATGCAGCTTTCATCAAAACCTAGGACTCTGAATGACCTTTTCTTGACCAGGACTTATTTCTTAACAGAAACTACAGTGCATCCAGAAAGTATTCACAGCACTTAACTTTTTCCACAACTTGTTAGGTTACAGTCTTATTCCAAAATGGATTCAATTCATTATTGTCTTCAAAATTCTACAAATACCCCATAATGACAACATGAAAAAGGTTTGTTTGAAATCTTTGCACATTTATTAAAAATGAAAAAAAAAATAAAATAAAATAAAAATCATGTACACAAGTATTCACAGCCTTTGCTCAATACTTTGTTGAAGCACCTTTAGCACCAATTACAGCCTCAAGTCTTTTTGAGTATGATGCTACAAGCTTGGCACAACTATTTTTGGGTAGTTTCTCCCATTCTTCTTTGCAGTACCTCTCAAGCTCCATCAGGTTGGATGGGGAGCATCGGTGCACAGCCATTTTCAGATCTTTCCAGAGATGTTCAATCTGGTTCAAGTCTGGGCTCTGGCTGGGCCACTCAATGACATTCACAGAGTTGTCCTGTAGCCACTCCTTTGTTACCTTGCTGTGTGCTTAGGCTTGTTGCCCCGTTGAAAGATGAACCGTCACCCCAGTCTGAGGTCCAGAGCGCTCTGGAACAGGCTATCAAGGATGTCTCTGTATATTGCTGCAGTCATCTTTCCCTCGATCCTGACTAGTTTCCCAGTTTCTGCTGGTGAAAAACATCCCCACAGCATGATGTTGCCACCACCATGCTTCGCTGTAGGGATAGTATTGGCCAGGTGGTGAGCGGTGCCTGGTTTCCTCCAGACATGAGTTCAATCTTTTGTTTCATCAGACCAGAGAGTTTTGTTTCTCATGGTCTGAGAGCCCTTCAGGTGCCTTTTGGCAAACTCCAGGCGGGCTGACTTGTGCCTTTTAGTGAGGAGTGTTTGCCATTTAGCGACTCTACCACACAGGCCTGATTGGTGAAGTGCTGCAGAAATGGTTGTTCTTCTGGAAGGTTCTCCTCTCTCCACAGAGAAACGCTGGAGCTCTTTCAGAGTGACCATCGGGTTCTTGGTCACCTTCCTAACTAAGGCCCTTCTCTCTCAATTGCTCAGTTTGGCTGGGCAGCCCATTCTAGGAAGAGTCCTGGTGGTTCCAAACTTGTTCCATTTACAGATGGAGGCCACTGTGCTCATTGGGACCTTCGATGCTGCAGAAATTTTTTCTGTACTGTTTCCCAGATCTGTGCCTTGATACAATCCTGTCTCGGAGATCTCCAGACAATTCCTTGGACCTCATGGCTTGGTTTGTGCTCTGACATGCACTGTTACCTGTGGGACCTTATATAGACAGGTGTTTGCCTTTCCAAATCATGTCCAATCAACTGAATTTTTCACAGGTGGACTCCAATCAAGTTGTAGAAACATCTCAAGGATGATCAGTGGAAACAGAAAGCACCACAGCTCAGTTTTGAGTGTCATGGCAAAGGCTGTGAATACTTATGTACATGTGATTTTTTTTCATTTTTAATAAAATTGCAAAGATTTCAAACAAACTTTTTTCATATTGTCATTATGGAGTATTGTTTGTAGAATTTTGAGGACAATAATGAATTGAATCCATTTTGGTATAAGGCTCTAACATAACAAAATGTGGAAAAAGTTAAGCGCTGTGAATACTTTCTGGATGCACTGTGTATCAAAGGGAAAAAAAGAACAAATAATTGTAGTATTTCCAATGCTGATTGCAGGCTGAATGGTAAAACTAGCCTCAAATCAAATGCAAAACATTTGAGACGCTTTGAGGAGTTGCAGACACCCTGTGTATACTGGAATAAAACTAAGATCATTCAATAAAGTGGAGTGTTGAGTGACAGCTTTGTGAATGAGCCTCAGTACCTGGGGGATAGACTAATAGGCGGGGAGCTGCCACCATTGTGCAATCTGGTCCTGTAGCTGAGTCTCTGACGAGTCCGCCGTTCATTCTGAATGGCAGACTTGTAGTCGGAGATGATAGAGATGATGTGTTTTTCAAAGAAGGCAGACAGGCTGAGGGTCATGCTGTAGATCTAGATATAAAACGAGAAAATTGTAATGAAACTACTAAAACTATCACTTTCTCATACTTTACTCGGCTGATCATTACATTGCTTCCTCAATCTCAGGAACACTACTTCACCTGCGATTTCTTGTTAGGTGTGTATGCTTTAGAGTTGCTGAAAATGAGGCGGATGTCTTTTGCGAACTCCACTGGGTTTTCGTAATTCCCCACTACCAGTGCCTCTGACACTGTACCCAGATCCATGGGTGTGTCGATGATGTCTCGATAGTCCTGAACAAAAGAGAGATGGAGAAAGGAAATGTTCAAGAGATTCATTTCAATTTGGCTATCGTTTATAATTCTACACCTATTGCATGCATTTCCACTGTTGTTTTATTTTAAGTGTTCTCTTGCTTCGGTAGTGTTGTATTGTCAAGTGCCAACTGTTCCCAATTGTTTTACCGGATACTCAAAGAGATCCACAGGCTGTCTGAATGGCTCTGAATCCGGGGAAACAATCATTCGATGCAGAAGCTCTCTGCATTGACCTCTCCAGGCTTTCACATCCAAAACCACACCACGCTTCTTAGAATTTGCACTGGCTCTCTGGCAAAGAGAAAATGAAATTAACTAAGGGATTATTACCAATAATTTTAAGCCTGTGACAGTCTAACATGGATTGTTGTGGTACACCAGACTCTGGTCCTTCTTACCCGATGTCCTGTTGACGTCCCTGGAGTGTCAGAATCCACATCTAACTCAGCCTGCAGGGGAGCAAATACAAGCCCTAGTAAGTATTTACAGCCAAAACAACACTAAAGAAAAGCGGTTAGAATGCAGTAATCTCACCTCAGCTTCTCCTCCACTGCTGATCTCAGACTTCAGTTTGTGATACAGATCCAAGATGTCTGTGCAACTTTGGTCCCTAACAGAGACAGAGGGTGAAGGAATCCCATAATGGCGTTATAATGCCCATAATGGCCACTTCCAGTGTTACAGTAGGACTGAGGTGGTGGTAACAAATTCAGTGGTCTTACCCGATGTAGTGTAGGAGAACGTCAGTCACCACCTTGGCAGCTGCTACAATGGGACTCTGGGGTTCATTGAAAGTGCGAGCATTGTGCTCAATGTAGCGCACCTCCCACATTAACGCAGATATCCGCCTGCAGCATGGAAGAACACTTAGGCATCAGAACTATGAATTCATGATAAAGGAAAAAAAAATGTGTCTGGTTGGGGTTACATATGTTGCACCACCTGTAGAAGCGGTTCTCCAGTCGTTTGTGGATGGTGCTGAGGTCAGTGGGATACGCCACCACAGTGCAGTACAGAGGGTAGTCCTGCAGATTTACTGGTGATGCAAATGCCTTGGCTATATCTGTGGACAAACACAAATCAAAACAACATCAGACTTAATAAACTGTAACAAACAAACTATTATCAACACTTCTGACCTACCCAGTGTAAGAAGCTGATCGATCCCATGGATGACTCTCTCACAGTCTTCATCCCGTGTGTGAGCCCCCCATTCTCCTTCCTGAGGCACGTATAGCAGAGCCTTTAGCTCCTCCTCGGATACCTCCACTCCATCATCGACATGTTCTGGCAACGCAACTGATGGAGCCACAAAATGGAGTATTTAGTTAGCTCAACATACAACATATCACAAAGAAAAAAGAACAATAAATAATTATTAGCCACACCATCCGATAACATACCTATCTAGGTGGCCAGGGTATATTTTTACAAAAACAACACCTGTTGGTTCAATATTTAGCATGCAATAATAATAAAACACACAACACATTCGTGTTTAAGTGACTTCTTGTTTCCACTATTGTGCTACTGAATTAAAATGGGAGAATACATTTTGCACTGACCTAGTAAAAATGCCAGCAGTGGAGAAATGTCTACTTGGCAGTATAATTATGTCAAAATAAAAGAAAATCGGCAGCAGCATGTAGTTTCGAATTCTAGGGAGTGGTCTAAAGTTCCCAGCTGTTAACTGCCCAGGAATACCTAAGCGCTTGTCATAACATCTCTAAATACTAAAGATACTAGGCCCTTTTGTCTGAAAAGCACATGGCTACCTTTTATGGAAAATAAACGACAAATTATTTTCTTGCTTTACCAATATGTAAAGTCCAGGGGGTTTTCAACCCACTGGTATTTATGTGTATACTAAATTGTTACAGACAAAAATATGTTGATTATTATCTATACAAAAACATTTTAAAACAAAATCTAATTTTGGAATGACAAAACCTTGTGTTGGGTACTTTGATACTTTATGGGGTCAATCAAATTACTTCAAAACCACTGTTTATCTAAAAAATGTTTTTTTCATTTTTATTTACTGATGTTAATGTTAACAAGGCTTAAGGTTGTGGTAAATAGTATTACTTTTTACGTTATGAAACTGCTTTGAGTGCACAAATATGCCAAGGAATTGAAAAATAAAACTAATGATCTGTATCAAATTTGTAATAATAATAATAATAATAATAATAATAATAAGACACACACACACACACACACAACTGATTTGAATGAATACAAAATTTGGGATTTCTGTACCATCATCTTAAACAGATATGTGATCATTCTGTGCAAACACAGTTCACTATGATATTTTGCAACACCTCTAATATGCATAGTGAATACCTAGGATTTTTTTGTTTGTTTGTTTGTTTTGGTATAAAGTACTGATACACAACCACTGTTGTCAACCACAAAGTGCTACACTTCTGAAAAACTGAGCTCTAAAAGACAATTTTATTTTACTTTTTAAAATAAATTTAATGAGAAAATTTGTAGAATTAAATTAGTTTTGTATGTCGGAATTAAATACAAATGGTATATTGTCCTATAAATATATTCATCTGCAACTTTAATGTGAAAAAAGTTTAAAACTTTGTCAAATCTTTTGAGTCTTGCCACACTTTGTAATCAAATCATGTTACAAAAATACACAGATTTATGATTAAGTACATTTCTCATAATAACACTACTGACCTTCTTCAGGAATAGGCTCCATGTCCCACGGACTCATCTTTTCCCGCTCACCATTATCCCACCTGATGAAACAAGAAAAAAACAAAACAAACATTTATCTGTGAGATTTCTGATTTATCAAAGCAGAACACAGTATTAACTCAGAGCAATGTTGATACATGTTGGAGTTAAATACTCCTCCAGCATCCATGAATACTGCAGAGACATAGACATACTTTACTGCATAGCACTGAAACAGGCTATCTGGATACTCTGGCTGCAGAGGCTCCTGGTCCTCCACAGAGCCAAACCACCAGGCATCATCGATGATGCTGCGGAACCTCATACCTGAAGAAAGTGAAGAGGAGAAAGAAGCAAACACAAGTGAAGGATGATACACTGTCCTCAACAATTAATATGAATGGTAAACACATGACAACAAAAGAGAGCTAGGGAGTGACCAACCTGGCTGCCAGTTGTGCTCTTTAGCCTCATTGTAAAACTGCTGCAGTACCAGAAAATCTATGACATCAGGCATGTCATGGTACCTTGGGAGTGCGGGAATAAAAAAAAAAGTGGTGAAATACATGTACTTAAAATTACAGTAAATTTCATTTATCTATGATCTTGTATATACTGAACAGAAATGCTCACTTTAAGGAGAAAGACTCATTGGTCATCTTCCCTGAGACTGGGTCCAAGAAGGCCAGTTTTAGGCAGCAGAGGGTAGGAGGTCCCACTTCATATTTAATTCCAACCACCTTCACAGATTCCTGGTCCTGGAGGAAGGAAATAAAAAGGTAAGGCTCCAAGTCAAAAAAAAGAAAAATTAGACATGGTGAGATATGCAACAGAAGCTCCCAAGCTTGTTCTACTCCTGTGAAGGGCACTGTTACAATATAGTGTGTCGGAGCTTGTCTCAGATGAAGAAAGCTGTGTGATTGATGACATTCAAAACTTCAGATGTCACCGGGCCTTCAGAAGGCAGTACACTGACTTACCTTTTTTTTTTTTTTAAACTTTTCAGCTTAACTATTGTTAGGGTGATTTTTAGTTTTCTCTTTTTCAAAGAAAAAGAATTCTCCTCACACTATGACAGGCACATTAATATAAAAAGAGGAGAGAATTTTTACCCATGAGACACAGTGCCCTTTGACATGAACAGACGTTAAGTCTAGCTTTGGCCCCTCTCTCAGAGTATATGTAGAGGTATTTTGCTTTATTGTTGCCTATGCATATGTGGGCGTCTATGTACACAGAGGGTGGGCGTGTTTCTGTTTTAGTGTGCAAATATCCTAAGTATGAGAACATTTCAAACTACTATCAAGTAATAATGTATTAAAAAATTACAGCACCATTTAATTAATACCTTTCTCCAAACACATCACATTATGACTTAACTACACTAATAAAGTACATATTTAATGGTGGAAGGCAGCACACTGGTGCAGTGTTAGCACAGTTACACTATAGCAAGAAGGTTCTGAGGTCAAACTTTGTAGCCAGCGGGCCTTTCTGTGTGGCGCTTGCATATTCTCTCCATGTGTTACTGTGACATATTGCACACTGACATCTACATTTAATTAACATTAACAAAGTATTACAGATTCACATTACAGGCTTCTTGGACTTGAAATATCAGAGGTGTTGTAGTGCTTCGGCCACAGCCTTGGCTGCAGTACATTTTACAAAACACCAGATGTCACTGTACGTGCTTTGTTTGAAGCCACAAGGCTTCAAATCTTGTCTTAGCCCAAACAGACAGAAAGTCCCAAAGGTTTATAAGGCTTCATCTGCCCATCACAAAGAAGGATGAACACAAGTTAACACCTTTTACATGTTTAGCAGAATTTGTTATTGTAGCTCATTTGAAACAAATGTGGCAATCAACTGTGACATTTTGCATACTACCGGTGAATTTAGATTCAAGATTGCTGCCACATTCTTTCATCTCTCTGCTCCACAAGAATGGCAACAATGCATGAGGCATTATGGAAAAGAGATTTTGTGGAGGCCTTAAATTTTCCACCAATTTGTACTCATGGCAAACTAGAGTGGAAAGTGAGCATGATCATTTCACAATTTCAGGAAGACACAAAAATTGCCTGTTGCATTCAGAATCTCCTGCTTTGTGTAATAAAGCATATAAGGGCCTGTACACAATACTAGCTTTAAAAAAAAAACAGTGCTTCACCCTGAGGTTGAGTCTGTTCCACGGCTGTTTCTGAGGGTTAATGCTGTAGGCCTTGGCTCTGCGGACTGCCCGGACATAAGCCTGGTGGCCCTGTTTGAAGTAGATGAGCTGGAGGAGGACAAGAATGTCAAGATCATAACATATGTCAGTGTTTTCACTACATAAATTTTTATAAATTTTGCTAAATGACTGAAGCTGCTGCTTCCAAATATTATGAAATGTAATGATGTCACAGAGGGATTTTATTATGAAACAATGGATACAGAAAGTGGAGACGCACACCACGAGTGACACGCAACTAAGGCGGGAGGGAAGAGAAAAAGAAAGAAGAGAGAGAGAATGGTAGACTGAAGTAGCTAATGATAAAATAGATTCTACAGTTTAACCCTAACAACCCATCAGCACAATTTGTCCACATTCTTGGAAATTCACACCCCTTACTTTTGGTTCCATATCTCACAAAGTAACATGATTTGTTGTCATGAATCTCATGTTAAAATTAATGGCTTGACCAGCTCAGACCTGCTCTGTCCAACCACTCACCAGCTGCGTGTTGATGTCTACAGAATTTTATGATTCAACAAAGAAAACATGTCTGCTGCTGTGTTTATTGCTGTACTGCCCAGTTTAAATTCTGATCTCACACTCTCTATAGGCTATTAAGTAGTTAGAGAAAAAAATGAAAAACAGAAATACAATTTAATACAACGCAAAATGAATAAATAGGTTCTAAAGTTCCACTTTATTTTGCGTGCACTTTCTCATGCATGCACCATGCATGCAAAACCTTGCTTCCCTGCTGCTGAAAACAAGTCCTAGAGGTAATGTAATGTATTTTCCTGTTTGAGAGCAAGACTAACTCTCCTTACCTCATCTCCCATTTGTGGAACAAAAGGAGAGTGGCGTGGGATGGTGTCCATTATCCACGATGGTGGCAGCCACTCCTCTGCATCAAGTCCAGCCAGAGAGGATGTGGGTTTCTGAGGGTTCACAGAGCACACTGTTTAAGTACAGAATTTCTCCTGTACTGTGTGATCAAGCTACAGTGAGACAGCTTGTTAACATATAACTCACCTGTTTGGTTTCCTTGGGCTTCTTCCTCTTCTCATTTTCCCTCTTCTCCTTTGCTTTGTCATTGCCTTCTTCCTCCTCAGAGCTGCTGTAATCTGGGGGCTGTACAGGCCTCCTGGTTGGCCGTTTTGGTGGCTGAAGGTTAATCCCAGCATCAGCTGTCCAATCTGAATATTCACTGGACGAGTCACTGAGAAGGAAAGAGGTGTGTTAGTGGGTGATGATAACTACTACAACTTGAAAACACTGCTCAGATATTTACCTTGAGCTGCTTTCACTCTGCCACCGAGCTTCACCATCAGAGGAGGCATCACTCTGCTCCACCTGTTCTGCTGCCTGTCAACACAAAGACAGGAAGCAACTTTATTATCATGAATGATAAGTAACAGATAGTGTTTGTTTCTGGCCTCATGACATTTACATTTAAAAAGCTCTTTAAATTATACAATCAAAACATCATATTAATTGAATCTGAAGTGAAAGTTTTAGTAACTTATTTTAAAGTTTTTCCAAATTCATTACAAAATAAGTCATGTTTGGATATGTAGAGTAGAAGGATGGAACATACCTCTCCATCACTGTCGGAGTTGATGTGGCTGAGACGTCGGCTGCTGAGATTTCGACTCCTGCTCCCAGGACGGCGAACTTGAGCTGAGCGAGTCTGATAGGTGTGGCGCTGCTGCTTTTTCTTAGACTGCAGGGAGCGCAGCCGTGTAGTAAGCGGCTCGCTCTACAAAGAGCAGAGGGAGAATGAAAGTGAGGAGAGAAGGAATAAACTGGCTCAAGGTATCTCTGACAACTGTGAAGTGAAGAATAGTATACCTTGGGCACACAGGTCACTGGTTTCTTCCTCCTCTCTGCATTGTATAGAGAACATTCCATGTCGCCTTTGGCTCGTCTGCACTCCTCCGACACTCTAATAAAACATTAATAATAAAACGCTCCAACAAAATCATTTCCATCATGGAATGTCCACAATTACTAAAAAAAAACATATATAAAAAGACCTGATGAAATTCCCTCTGTCTGCCTCACCTGAATATCCCTTGTGGCACTTCATTGACTACCACTCTGCGGCTCCAGGCCAAAAGGTCCCTCTCAGTGGCCACTTGACTGCGCAGGGTGTTATACTGCATCTGCCATACACCGCCCATCTGCCCACTTCTGTGGAGTCCAACAACTGGAGAGGAGGCCACCACTTCTCCCATGTCTCCAGCTGTATTTAAGAAGACTTTTTTTTGGTTGTGAATATACACTCAGCCACTTCATTAGATACACCTGTACAATTGCATGCAATTCAACACAACACCTTCACCTCAACATCTGTGTCTATGAAGCTCAAAATGTTCCAGTTTTTGGTAACAACGGTCATAAAAGTATAAATTCAATTACACGTTTATTATTGAGGTCACAGAGGTGTCTATATATTTTTGTCCTTACAAGCTACATACATGAAAGGGTCAAAATATTATAATATTAAAAACACCTCTGAATATAATGTAGCCCAGTACAACACCACCTTCAACTATGACCTCGGTAATAAACATAATAATGACAATTTCAAAAACTGAAACATTTTGAGTTTCATAAACACAGATGTTAAGTTGGAGGTGTTGCACTGAAGTGCACATAATTGTATAGGTGTACCGAATAAAGTGGTCAATGAGTGTATGTTACTATGACACTTAATTACAATCTAGTATCCACGCTATGGTCAGGAACATAGTTTTATAATAAGTAATGTAATGTAAAAACAGACATACCCCCTGCCTCTTCAGCCTGCTGCTCTGCATTCTGCCGCTCGTCCTGCTCATTCTGCAGCTGTCTAATAAGATTGTCCAAGAGATTTTCTCCATTTTCTGCTGTTTGCTGGCCAAGTACCTGCTCAACCAACTCTCCATCACCTAAGCAACAAAGAGGCAAACTGTGGGTCAAACTGTGTCAGGCCTATTCCCTCAGTAAAAACTGTGAAGGCAAAGAGAGAGCAGTTTTTACTGTTAGTCATGTATCCCAGCTGAGGTATTAGTTGATCCTCCTTGCAGTTCTCTCTTCCTGGCACTAGTCGCTGGTAGTGAGGAGGGTGCGGATTCCCATCAACATCCACCAGGAAGGGTGGTGGCATGAGGTGTGGGGCCTGCTGCGTCTGCTCGTCTAGGACGTAATTATTAGAGTCACGAATAAGAGGACGGTAGTCCGTGTGGAAGAACATCTGGTCAGGAATCTGGAAGCAATCAAGAGTAAATCTGTGTTGATAATGAGGTAAAAAGAAACTTACAATACAAAGCTTGGATGCAACCACAGATTCATGTGGCCTAACTGTATTAATTCTGAATATTGTTCCTTTAAAAATAATACATTATGAAGTGAATGTTAAGGGTAAATAAATATATGGCAAAAAACACCGAGGACCAGTATGCCGAGACAAGGAGAGTATGAAGGGGTCGCTGGACCCTCAGTTGTATGAAGAAACACGCAGGTATATTGATATCTGCGAGGGCAGATGAGCGTTGGAACTAACAATTAGCAGGAACCAACAACAAGTATGATCCACGTACGGAATGAGGCAAGTGATTTGCTACAGAGGTTAATAGTTTTTGAGGGATTGGAATTTGGTACTGAACACAATTGGACCACTGAACAACATTATCATGAATCGGACGATGACTTTGACCCTGAAAAAAACTTTTTTAAGAACTCTGAAAATAACTGCAAGTATTACACGGATGAGCAGTTTAACAGCAATGTCAAGACTGAAAACAAATTATCATTAATTCACTTCAATAGCAGAAGTTTATACGCAAACTTTCAGAGTATAAAACATTATCTTAGTAGTCTTACACATTCTTTTAATATAATTGCTATTTCTGAAACTTGGATGAATAATGTAAGGGGAATGGATTTTGACCTTGATGGCTATAACTTGGTATGCACAAACTGGGAAAATAAGATGGGAGGTGGTGTGGCCTTGTACACAGATAAAAACTTTTGTTGTAAGAAAGTGAAGAAAATGTCAAGGGTGGTGGATAATTTACTCGAATGTGTGACTGTAGAAATACTCGTGGAAAAAAAGAAAAATGTTGTAATAAGCTGTATTTACAGAGCAGCATAGAAAAATTTAATGACTGGATGGAAGAAAGAAAATTACTTGACAATAAGTCATAAATTAATGTTCATATGTGGTGACTTCAATATAGATTTGTTAAATCCTAACAAGCACACAGGAACTGAGGAGTTTATTAACACAATATATAGATGCAGTTTATACCCAAAAATTACAAAACCAAGCAGAGTAACAACCCAGCATGCAACACTAATACTGTAGATAATATATTTACCAATGTTATTGACAGCAAAATGACAAGTGGATTACTTATAAATGATATTAGTGATCATCTACCA